GGGCATCCCCCCCGGGGCCCGTTTTGTGAGGATGTCTCAGGCGAGGGCGCCGGTTTGGGATTCGTCGGATCCAGCGGATCCAGCGGATCCAGCGGATCCAGCGGATCCGTCCGGAAACGGTGCCGGAGGCCGCTCTGGGCTCCTCTGGGCATCCCCCCCGGGGCCCGTTTTGTGAGGATGTCTCAGGCGAGGGCGCCGGTTTGGGATTCGTCACCGGATCCAGCGGATCCAGCGGATCCAGCGGATCCGTCCGGAAACGGTGCCGGAGGCCGCTCTGGGCTCCTCTGGGCATCCCCCCCGGGGCCCGTTTTGTGAGGATGTCTCAGGCGAGGGCGCCGGTTTGGGATTCGTCACCGGATCCAGCGGATCCAGCGGATCCAGCGGATCCGTCCGGAAACGGTGCCGGAGGCCGCTCTGGGCTCCTCTGGGCATCCCCCCCGGGGCCCGTTTTGTGAGGATGTCTCAGGCGAGGGCGCCGGTTTGGGATTCGTCACCGGATCCAGCGGATCCAGCGGATCCAGCGGATCCGTCCGGAAACGGTGCCGGAGGCCGCTCTGGGCTCCTCTGGGCATCCCCCCCGGGGCCCGTTTTGTGAGGATGTCTCAGGCGAGGGCGCCGGTTTGGGATTCGTCGGATCCAGCGGATCCAGCGGATCCAGCGGATCCGTCCGGAAACGGTGCCGGAGGCCGCTCTGGGCTCCTCTGGGCATCCCCCCCGGGGCCCGTTTTGTGAGGATGTCTCAGGCGAGGGCGCCGGTTTGGGATTCGTCACCGGATCCAGCGGATCCAGCGGATCCGTCCGGAAACGGTGCCGGAGGCCGCTCTGGGCTCCTCTGGGCATCCCCCCCGGGGCCCGTTTTGTGAGGATGTCTCAGGCGAGGGCGCCGGTTTGGGATTCGTCACCGGATCCAGCGGATCCAGCGGATCCGTCCGGAAACGGTGCCGGAGCTCCTCTGGGCTCCCTCCGGGCGGGCCTGGGCTCCTCTGGGCATCCCCCCCGGTGCCCGTTTTGTGAGGATGTCTCAGGCGAGGGCGCCGGTTTGGGATTCGTCACCGGATCCAGCGGATCCAGCGTATCCAGCGGATCCAGCGGATCCGTCCGGAAACGGTGCCGGAGGCCGCTCTGGGCTCGTGCTCTTCGCGCCGGGGGTGAGGATGACGTGAGTTCCACAGAAACTCCCTCAAACGATACTGGCAACCTGTCGGAGGGGACGTAGCTGGAGTCCACTACGTTGGTAAAACTGTAGCCGCTGCGCCAGTATCAAAGTTTAGCTTGACCCAACTCCCAAGAGAACGAATGCTGCTCTTCGAACTCATTGTTTGACACCACGAATCAGAACAACTCTCACCACCAAACGATCCATGAAGATCGAGAGGGCACAACTCCAACATCATCTCTTCTTCTGGTTGTTCTTGTCCGGGTTGTTCTTCACCTCCTGCAACTTCGAGTTGATCTGCCGACTTTGGTCCCCACTTGCTGCCTTTGCCGCCACCTTTGCTCTTCGACTTGCCACCTTTCGACTCACTCTTACCACCATCAGTGCGCTTGGGCTTCCAACAGTTCTCCGCCTTGACCGGTAATGCCACAGTTCCAACATACTGGACCAGTGTTGATCGCGCCCTTGGACCTGAACTTACCGCCCTTGTCGCCCTTGGACTTGCCCTTGCCTCCTTTGTTGTCGTGACCTTTCCCTTTGCTCTTGCAACCTTTACCGTCGCGAGGCATCGGTCCGACGTCCATGGCATTGGGGTCTGGTCGTCTCTGTTTGCCAGTCTGAACGTCTCTCTCCCGAATCTTCGCTCCAGTCCTAGCCTCGATGTAAAGCATAACCTCTTTGCGTAGGGCGTCGTAGTCTCTGATGCGAGATTGGTTCAAAAGAACGTGCTCCTCTAACTCTTCTGGAAGCAAACTTTCAAGAGCTGCAATCTTGATCTGGTCGCTGATGGTCTCTCGCTCTCCTGCGTCGTCCTTGCGACGCTCATACTGAGAAACCTGATCTTCCCATCGTTCAAGAGACTGAGCTAAATTGTCCAGCGTACTGCGACATGGATTGAGAATCAAGCGAAGTAAGTTGCGTTTTCGGGCTCCCGTGGCTGGATCGTATCGTCTGCATGTCTTTCTCCAGGCCTCTAGTCCATTTCCTTTCGTCGAATTCATGACCAAGTCAAACGGTTCGTTTGACGTAAGCTGCTGCAGCGCGGCGTAGAACTGTGTGTTCTTGGGTTCGATGTCTGCGATCTGATCTGCATTTTCGCCCTCTCCCCAGGCTCCATTGATATCGTTGTCTGTGATCATAGTGTCCTGCTCCGAGGCCCACTCTAAGACTTCTCTGACATTCTCATCGAAAACGGAACACACAAATGATTCAAACTTAGCTTGCCACTCTCGCCAACGACTGTCATCTCCATCGTATTTGCTGGTTTGCCTATGCCACGAGTGTCTACCAATCTTGATCTCTGCTGTCGGTTCGCCATGTCCTGGCGCATGATCTCCACTAGGGCTGCAAGATCACCTGCTCCGCCCTGTGCTCCCGCTGCTCCTCGTTGCTGAAGTTCTGCTTGCAGGCGTTGACTCTCTGCTCCCAGCCGCTGAAGCTCTTGCTGATGACTCTGCTGCTGCTGAACGAGTAACTGCACCTGTCTGGTGAGGTCCTCCATTGTTAATCTCGAAGTCTATCTGCTCGTTGTATATCTCACGACGTCTCTTTAACTCGAGCAAGAGTTGTCCAACATTGGCCCACAATCTGCGTTTGAACGCGGTCCGCTTGACGTAGCGGGCGAAACGTCTCCACTCCACGATGCGGTGACAAGGCTCCGCGAGCTGATCTACGCCAGCTCTCTCCTCTTGAGGTCTCTCACTAGACTCCGAGTCGCTGTCTCCTAGAACGTTCCAATCAGCAGCAAACGAGCGGCTGGTGGCAGGAGCTCCGCATACCATGTAGATAGAATATGACTCTGTGATATGGGTCCTTTTCCAGCGCAGTGCCTGAAACGAGCCAAATGGTTGCGAAACGAATTCAAGACACACACACACACAACATGTCTGTCACCAAATGTACAACGCTCGTTACACACGTGCGTACAAAACGTGAGACGTGAGAATCGTGCTCAGCATATCCCACACTTCTGAAATATCTGCAAGGACACCCTTCGGATCCCTTAGGGAATCCATAGGATTCCTAACGAAATCCATCGGGTTCATAGGACATCCTTGGGATTCCTTAGGAAATCTTGAGGATTCCTGAACAAATCCATCGGACTCCTTAGGAAATCCTCCAAGATATGTGAAAGCAAGGTTCGGCAGAAACTATGACGCTGGCGCCGTTGCGCCAAGCGCCTTCGCCGTGCGCCGCGCAGCCTCCGCCTGTAGGCGATGCGGCTGCTTCCGGCAGCGAGTGTATGAGCGTGCGCACGTGCACTCTGACGGACGCAGGCGCTGTTCCGTCAAACGCCTTCGCGCCATGCTGTGTAACGAACAAGCCTCAATCAAACATATGCAGAAACGCACATGCACGTCATGGCGCTCGGGGTATCGGATTTCGGGCGCCCCCGCGCACAAGCCAAATATCTGCTGCCATTATTTCAACAGGAACCCACCGTGCTGGAATTCCTATGGTCCTACCACGGCATGTTCTTAGAACCCAAGAATGTTCTAAAAACAAAACAAATGTTCTTACAGCATCAATCTGATGTGTTAGAACAAGACAGTCTCAGCAAGACATGTTCAAATAACTGTTCGTGCAGACCGCAAAAGGTTCTTAGAACATTCTCTGGTGGCCTCTAAGCGAGTCAGAACGCGTCGCCACTGCTTGAAATATTGGAGTAGCGCAGCCCATACAAGTGCCGATTACAATAATCGTCTGGTCATGCTTGACGACTTTTCAACAGAGACTGGGACCCGAGATTCGAAGACATTGAGTCGTCCACGGTCTAAGCTCCTTCTACTCATCCTGCGAAATTCGACCCTGTATCCTCGAGAGATACCAGTGTTTTTGGTTCGCACGTGCTGTTGTGATTGATTGAATGTGTTTGTTGCCCCTTTCAGGCCTGAGGAAATCTCTCGAGGCCTCCAGGGAAACAAGGGACCTGGAAGACTTAGATGAGAACCCGAGGCCCCCTGCGCGCTCTCTGGACCTGCGAACGTTTGCAATCAGGCCCTTGCCGCACCTTCTCGACCTTGGAGACCCGGTACAAGAATCGCACACCCCAGCTGCGTTCTCTCGGCCTCGGAGACTTGGAACAGTGAGACTCCGGGGCCCCGACACGCCGCGTCCCTGCCTGCCCCACTCTCTTGGCCTCCGAGGCCCCGAACGATCAGCAACGCGCGCCCCCGCCACACCGTGGGAGGCCTGGACGCCTCTGTCTCGGCGCCTGGACCTGGGGCGGTCCTACGCCGCTCCGCTGCCTGGACCTGGGGCAGCCCGCGGGCGCCGGGCAGCGGCGATGGAACGGTCCGCGACGAATCTGGCGAGGAGACCCGCCGAGGCCGCCCTGGACGGGGGAATGGGGGTGCCGAGGCTGGCCTGGGCTCTGGAGGCCGCCTGTGCGCCACTCCGAGCCTTGCCATCCTCCCCCCGCCCCTCACTCGCTGGAGGCCTCCAAGATGGGGTCCGAGCAGAGGGGGTCAGAGGATCGCGCCGAATCGCCGATGCATCGGCGTCTGCGGCGTGGAGAAAATCGGGCTCCACATCCAGCCGCATCCGCGAGGCAACGGCGATGCGGCACGGTCCTCCGACCCCGTCTGACTACCTACCGGACCACCCCAACCCAACACGAAGACCCAAATTTCGCCCGAATGTCGGTTTGGGGAGGGTGCGAGCTTCATACATGTTTTGTTCAATGTTCCCCGACCCCCCCCCACACGGCAAATGGAGGGCAAATCGAGGCCTTCGGGTTGGGTTGGGGTGGTTTGGTGGGCGGTGACCACCTGCTCGGACCCCACCTGGAAGGCCTATAGCCACCCGCCCCTCCCTCGCCCGGTCGCCCCTGGCTTCGCCGAGCCTCCGGGCAGCTCCACGGGCTGGAGCCACTGGCCCCCGCCCCCTTGCCAGTCCGAGGCGTCGCCGTCGTGGCGAAGGACGCGCTTGCACACTGGGCGCTCGCCTCGGGAGGTGCGCGTGGGAGGGGGGGGGTCAGGAGCGGCCAAGAGATGGGCGTCCAAGAGGGGGGGGCGCAAATCATGGCATGCGGCATGTGCGCGGCCCAAGGGGGGGGCCAGGGACGTAATGAAATAAGAAGAGGACGCGCCTGCGCACTGGGCGCTCGCCTCGGGAGGTGCGCGTGGGGGGGGAGGATGAGCGCTCACAGAGGAGCATGCATATAGTAGAGGCCAGACCACAAGAAATCCGCCGCAAGAAACGCAACCCTGAGACCCCAGGGCGTCCATCGATTTTCGGTGTGGGAACGTCACGCTTTCCATTGCAAAACCATGGCAACCCAAGGTGCTTCTTGGCATGGGCCTCCACTGTAGAGCAGCCGGTGCACATATTTTGTCGCGGACCTGGCGCACGGCGCAGGCCGGTCAGGCAGCACAGGGGCGGAGGGCCAGCGCACTTGGCCGCGCGAGGGCCGGGCGGTGGCAAGACGTGCGGCCGCGTGTGCAACCAGCTCTCGCCCAAGGCTGGCCAGGCCATTTGCGCCCAGCCTCCTGGAAGGACGGCTGAGGGACGAGAGAGAAGCGGAGGAGCGGTGAAGAGCCACCCTCCTCCACCTCGGCGCCTTCGGGTGGGGTTGGGTGGGGGGAGGCCCTCGTCGTCACGGTTGGATTCGCCTCGACATCCTGTTCGGAACGCAACCCAGGACAGGTCCAGGGGGTAATGTCAAGGGGGGGGTGATGTGAGACAGAGAGAGAGAGAAGGAGAGAAAGACAGAGAGGGAGAGAGAGGGAGAGAGAGAGAGAGAGAGAGGGAGAGAGAGGGAAAGAGAGAAACAGCGAGAGAGAGAGAGAGAGAGAGCGACGGAGAGAGCGAGAGAGAGAGAGAGACAGAGAGAGAGAGAGAGAGAGAGCGCACCCAGAGGCAAGGATGGGGTCGGCATCCTGCTCGTGAACTGTGCCGCTGGCCAGGAGGTGATGCGCCGCCCGTGCTACGGACAGGGGTGCTGGGCCACCGAGGTGCGTCAGCAAGCAGGCTCGACGCCAGGCCTCCACGTGATCCCCGACAACCTTCCATAAGGAAACGAAGAATGACAGAAACATAAAAACCCGGAGGTCCGCGCGGATTTCTCGGATCGGCGCCGGACCCGCCTCCCTGGCGCGCGGAGCGCGCCAGCCAAGTGGGGTCCAGCAGCGCGGATCCGAGAAATCCGCGCGGACCTCCGACTTTGTATGTTTCTGTCATTCTTCGTTCCCCTATTCCAGTGAGCTCGAGATCGGCCCTCCTTCTTCGGGGGCGCGCAAACATGGATTAGCGATCCATGGATTTGGCGCTACTCACGAAAACGGAACCCGTCGCTAATTCACGCCTCCGGAATCCATTTTGCGATCGCCTGGAACTTTTCGCTCAGCGGCCGAGGCCGGGGGGCGAGGAGGACGGTGGCCGCCCAGGCGGTACCGACACGCGAGGCCCACGGAGGAGCCCCTGCCAGCGGCGGGGCGAGGTCAGCCTCCGAAGAGAGGCAGGACAAGGGTCAGGTCGGGCATGTCCCCACTACAGGCGGATTTTGGACGAAACATAAAAAAGAATGGGCAAACAAAAATTCAAAAATAGTAAAACACAGTCGAAGAATCGTCCCCAGGCTATTTTTCCAGATTTTCGAGGACTCCCCCTGTAGAGGGGCGCGCCCGACTTAGGACAAGTGGGGGGCCCCGATCGGCGACTCCGGAGGGCGGTTTGCAACCCGCACCCTGGCGGGGCGGGCGAGGACCTCGACAAAGCTCTCCGCCGCGCCCTGAGGCCCGACGGGGGCAGCGTGGTGCCCCGCAGACCCCGACGACGCAGATCGCAAACCACACCCCGGCCCCGGCATAACCACACCCTTCGTAGTCACTGACCAGGGAGGGGGAGGAGGAGGAGGAGGAGGAGGAGGAGGAGGAGGAGGAGGAGGAGGAGGAGGAGGAGGAGGAGGAAGTTTTTTGTGCTCCTCCGTTGGGCGCCGAGCATGCCAGCTGCGGGGGTGCACTACGCACCGAGCTCACTCCCTTGAGTGAGGAAACCAAGATCTTTGAGAGCCCAGCCCTCGAGGACGACCTCCTTCCTACCCGTTCTCGGGTGGAGGCCTCGGTCGAAACGGCTTCTTCGTTCCCTGCCCATTTTGTCCAGGACAAAGCCAGGCCGTCTGGCAGGGCACGTCTTGGCCAGGCCGACGGGGTGAGTCGAAAAGCTGGGGTGGGACGTGGGGAGCGAAGAGCTTGGGCAACGACGGTGCGCAGGTCACCGACGACGACCTGCTGCTGCCTTGGCAAAAAGCCCACCGCAAGAGGCTGCGCGCGACGGCGCGGCCTGCGCCCGAGGGCGCGGAGGATGATCTGACGCTGGCGGCGTGCCGGCGCGGAGAGAAAAGGCTTCTCTCGACTTGGTAGCGGGGCCTCGGTCCACACGGGACTGGGGCTCACGCGCCACCACTGCGCATCGACGGGGTCATCGAGGTAATCCACAGGACGGAGTCTGTCACCGCCGAGGCGGAGCAGGACAACTCCGAGTTCACGAATATCCGCTTCAGCTATCACGAGCACGACTACACCAGGAGCGTCGCAAGACGCAGTATACGGAGATCTCCATCGACGCGATGGAGCGCCTGCAGTTCGAAGTGCCGGGCTCACTAAAGGTGCCGCCAGCCTGGGGCCTGGAGCAGGACAGCGCATACCCGTTTAGGTTCTGGCTCACGGATGTGACGATGTGGGCGGCGGAGGCAGCTCGGGAGGTCATGCCCGAGCATCAGGGCCCGGCGGTCGCACTACGCCTGGGCGGAGCGGCCCGCAGATTAGCGCGTGAGATTCCACAGAACCAGCTGCGCGACGGCGCCTTCGTGGACCCGGGCGACGGGAACGGTGCCAGGCAGCTTTCGGGGCTCCAGATGCTGCTGCTGGTGCTCTCGAGGTCCTTCGCGCCGCTGGGTGAGGAGTCCGAGCGGCGTTCGACGCAGGACTTACTGGGCTTCGCCAGGCGCGGTCATGATAATATCGATCAGACGCTGAGTGCGTTCGAGGTTGTGCGACGCCGCGCGGCCACCGTCGGCAACTTCGCCATGGGCCCGCAAGGGCTCGCTTGGACGCTGATGAACTCCTTGAACTGCAGCCCGCAGGAGTGGAACGAGCTCCTCATCCACTTCAGAGGCCACCTGCCGCGCACGGAGCAGCAGTTCTCAAAGCTCGTGGAGTACATCAGGAGGTACGGACACGTGCTGGAGAAGGCCCCGGTGTCCATCAACCGCGTGAGAGGCAATGGCAAGGGCAGCCACTTCTTCTACCCGACCTTCGACTTCGGCGGCGGCGTACAGCTAGATCACGATGGTCACGATCGTCAGGCAGGCTTCGGGACTGGCATGATGACGGGAGGTGCCTACCAATCGTCGGCTGCGTCATCGTCCGGCTGGGCCCCCGCGACAGGATGGGCGCCGGCGCCGGCACCGACCGCAGTACCACCACCGCCTGACCCGTGGAGCCCCTACTTGAACAATCAGGCCGGCGACGACGACACGGACATGGGCGAGGACGACGGGGAGGACCTGGACGGCAGCGACTTCCCCGGCGCAGTCGGCCGCGATGACGACGACACCAGAACTACGCGTTCCACAAAAAGCGCTGGAGGAGGTTCACTGGGCGCCCGACGAGGTACCAGCGCTTCGGCAGAAGCAACGGCCAGGGCTCGCTGATCCCCTTTCGGGGTGCGTTTGGCCAGCGCGGCGGCAAAGGCTACCACTTCGAAGGTAGGGGACGACGCAACCCCATCGGCTGGGACGGCAAGGTCACGAAGTGCTCGACCAAGGGCTGCGAGTGCGAGTTCCACCTGATCAAGGACTGCCCGCAAAAGCAGGACAAGGGTGGAAAGGGCGGCAAGGGCTCATTCATCACTGACGGTCCGAGGCCGCTTACCGGAACAGGAACGGGCGCACCATAGTTTGGCTTCAACACTGGCTCGCCACCAAACGGGGCACCTTCAGCGACGCCAGCGTACGGAGCAGGATCCGCCAGCTTCTTCGCGACGGACAACGTGGGTCGGCGGCCCTCTGGTCGGTGCTGCATGAGTCGTGCTCAGGACTGCTGCGTCGTTCGCGACGAAGACCCGTCTTGGCTTGGTGCTCCTCGACTGTGTTGGAGTCTGAGAATGAGGAGACCGCGTGGACCGTGCTTAGGGCCTCTGCAAGGCGCAGCTTCTTCTCTTGCTCCTGGCCGTCATTGGTCCATTCGGGGTCCTCCTCCTTAGGGGGCACAAGGGGCGCAGGTTCGACGGTGGGATCCTGCGCGTCTGCCTGCGGCGGGCAAGGTTCGATCTTGGCAAGGCGCTGGAGAGCAGTGCGAGCGTGGCGGGCTCGAAGGGTTTCACTGGAGCTGTGATCGCACCGGCAAAGCCGAGGACTGCAATTGCGATTGAAGATGCACGCGACGACGCAGTTGGACCCAAAGCAGTAACGCCACATGCTTCTTGGGAACCTCCATCGGCACCGACATATTCGAGCGCTTCGGAATCTTCGGAGAATGGAGGCCCCGCATTTCCCATGATGAATTTCCCGACGTCCGAGAGCATCGCGAAGGTTCCTGGGCTCGATCGTGCTAGCGCGACCTACGGCCTTGACCAAATCCTAAGTCTCTCGGCGATATCGGCGGCGCCGGAAGTCGCAAAGGCGAAGCCTTTGAGCCCGCCAAGTGCCGCCGCAGGTATCAGGTCTCCAACCGGCGGCTGCTGCGTCGGCGCCGACACCTACGGCTTCCGACATCTTCGAAAAAAGGCCGAGGCAGAACTCCTTCAGCAGTGGCGGCCTGGTCTTCGCATCGGCTCCTCCGAAGGCGACTGCAGCTACGTCGCCGAGCAGTTTGGCACAGGCGACCTCCGCCAGTTGTGGCAAGGTGGAGAGCGCGCCTGGAGACGCCGAGAACCCTGCGATCGAGGCCGAGCTAGAAATCGACTTGTCCACGTTCGACCAAGATGGGGAGTCGTACTTCATCG